CCTTTGTTGCCAATGAAAGCCTGAAGTCTTGAACTGATGGGCATCACCAGATGCTGGGTTTCCTCCTTTTTAATGCTCTGCCAGACCTTTACTGCAGCAGCTTTCAGTTTCCGTTTGTGGGCCTGTCTCAGGTTTTCAACAAATGAAATTCATGCTCAATTGGCCATTCAAGAATACGCCACTTATTTGCTTTAATAAACTCCTGGGTTGCTTTGGGTGCATGTTTTGGGCCATTATCCATCTGTATAATGAAACACCACCCAATCGATTTGACTACATTTAGCTGGATATGAGCTGACAGCATGTCTATGAACACCTCAGAATTCACTGGGCTGCTTTTGTCCTGTGTCACATCACCAATGAACGCTAGTATCCCAGTGCCACTGGCACCCATGCACGACCAAGCAATGACACTGCCTGTGCCATGTTTTACAGGTAATGTGGTATACCATCATTCTGGTAGAATCTCTCCAAAGAATCCAAATCTTTTTGCAGTGCTGAGTTCACTAGTACTTTCCTTCTTTCTCAGGATGTACCAAATTGTACATTTAGCCACTCCTAATATTGTAGCAATTTCTATGATTTTTTTGTTGTTGTTTGTTTCTGTTTTCACAGCTTCACCTGCACAGAAAATGTCTTTTACAGCAAAATCTTCCAAATGCAAGCGCCACATCTCAAATCAACTCTAGGCCTATCATCTGCTTAATCAATAATGAGATAATGAAGGAATTGTCCACACCTGCTCAGGAAATAGCCCAAGTCAATTGTCCAATTACTTTTGGTCCCTTTAAAATAAATAAATAAATAGCGTAGCACATGTTAAAGAACTAAAACTTCTAAATCCTTCATCCAATTTGAATGTGGATACCCTCAAATGAAAGCTGAGAGTCTACACATTATGTCCATGTCAACAATATGAATATGTTTTAGTAAACAGGTAAAACCTGTGTCAGTGTCTAAATATATATACATATGGCCCTAACTGTATATATAAATCATATGTACATATAAAATGATTAAAAGTGCAAAATGGTTGTCACAAGGAAACTCACTTTTGCCACTTGGAGGGAAAACAAAAGTCCTATATTAGGCTGGGGTGCTCTTTTTAGCTGATGAATCTTTACAGCTCACTTGGTTTTGGGTAAGACTTGAATTCAGAGGCATGGCTACTTTGGCAGGCAGCTTGGCTGACAACTTTTTGATGGACAATCCCAGACATTTTGTTGGATCACTTTCTCCACATTAGCACCAAACAGCGCCTCGGTGCACCTTGCTAAGATTCCACATGCGATCACTTCTGGTTCCAACAAAAATATGGTGGCCACACTAACTTTAAAGCTTCAAAATGTGGAGACCACAAATGAAATTTATGTGCAGTGAGCAGAGTTGAGAATATACCACAGCTGTAGAGACGTCGAACCCTTTCAATGTCAGTCTTTGTCAGTTTATCTCTCTGTCCCATTTCCTTCACATCTTTCTTTGGGAAGATGGTGGGCAGGCCGGTCGCTGAAAAAAAATCCCTGACACAAGAGTAATCACCTTGAAGTACCACGTAACCTTTACAGAGAAACGGTTTGTTATGCATTTGTCATTTTGGGTACTGTACCTTCCATAGTGCATGATGGAGGTAGCGTCATATGGAAGAGAAAAGGTCTCGCCATCTTGCATTCTGAAGTTTTTCTCCATCCCTGAAAGACATGTGATACTTTCCCTGAGTGTAAACAATCAATAACCCCCAAAAAGTTTTGGTAAATGCACAATGTGCAGTAAACTGTGGTGAAGCTCATCTTCCAAGATATGAGCTGTGTTTGCCTCACACATGTAAACAGGTTCATTTTTTTATGTCAAATAAAGGGAAAGCTGGAGTTTGAAAAACACATACATACAAAACACTTTCTTATTGTACAAGTTCCGAGCATTATGACCATTTAGCTATCATAGCGTTTAAACAGTACAGATAATATTTGAGGAGAACCCTTACCTGGCATAATGTTGCTGTGAATAACGGTGATGTGCTGTTCACGGTCCATCCTTGTGTGTTCATGGTGGAAACCCAGAGCATGAAGAATCTCATGTGCAATGTTACCTACCATGCACTGGGGCCCAACAAAAACAGGCTGCTCGCCACCCTTTAAGCCCACAAATGATGCACAGCTAGAACAAAACTGCAGGTTAGTGTCCTGTTTTTTTTTTCTTTTAAATGAGACATCCATCTTTAAACATTAATATCTGAAAAATAAAAAGCAGTTGTTGCTGTACTTAATCTTGCCAGCAGTGAGGAGAGTCTTTTTCTTTTTAAACCAGCGTTATGTGCCTTGGTCAGGGTGCTTAAACTCACTTTCAACTGATCCATTTCCACCCTCACAGTCATGAGCTCTGAGGCATGACTGAAGTACCAAATTCACCATTTTTTCTTTTGTAGACTGACATTGCTGAGTGATTCTCTGTTACGTGATAGCAGTTACTAGATTTAGTGAAGCCTGATATGGGTTCTGAGTATGCTGACCTGCAGTACAGGCCAGAGGTTTCTGCAGCCAGGATGTCATATTGTCATGTTAAGATACAGAAACTGAATATTTCAGAAACCCAATCAGAACACTAAGTGCTGCAGAAAACTTGGGGTGTTCAGCATACAATCTGAGCTCCAACTGCAGTTCAAACAGAGTTTAGACTGAGCTTCAGAAAACTACATACCCTGTACTGGTTTTGAAGAGCAGGTAGTTTTGCTCGATGGTTCGCTTGTGGAAGGATACACAGGTGTGTTTGGACACCATCTCCATAGCAGAGAGAATATCATCTGTGCGACTAGCTGAAAAACAAAGTGGCAGTAAGACAGACTTCTCAAAGATCCAATGAAATGCACATACTGTGCTTACCTAAATCTGGGCTAATGATATAGGGTATCTCCAGAGTTGGCCAGCTACTGCTCACTGCATTCCTGTCATTCTGCAGAAGAAATGAAATGCTTCGAGTGTTCACTGACTGCCTAGTCCACATCACATCTTTGCTCAGTGTTATGAAGCTTAAATGACCTCAATGAACTTTTTCCTACGATTTTCTGGTCTTAACTGCCATGTTCATGCCCTTCTGAATTTGTTTTGTAAATTATGGCTCACATTAGACTCAAAGGAGGCAAGGCCCCACCTTGTTGTTAGTTTCTGTCATTCTGATCATGTTTGGATTCAGAACACTAGAATTATGGTGGCAAAATGCTCAGCTGGAAGTTTACCACAGGTCCCACTAACATGGCTGTGGTTATGTCCATAATTTACAAAGAGTACGATTCTTGCAAACTTTTTTCCTAAACTCAATGTGCAGACATTTCAAACCAAATTTTGTGTAAAAGTCTGTCTGTGGATCTGTTGCCTCAGTTTTGGCATGTGTTCTCAGGTAACTCACCAACAGCACCATGTCTCCTTCTGCCAAAGCATAGTTTTTGTCCATCAGCTCTAACAGAACGACAAGAGGAGATCAGCATGAAGCTACAAAGTGCTACTACAAAGTTGTATTGTTCAATCACATTCACTTATTTTCTACCATTAGTTCATGTGATAACTTTAAGGTTTCCAGTGCTTGTTTTGAAAAGGTTTGACTATTAACTACAACTGATATCCTAAAAACTTCATAAATAACGGCTGATAAAACATTTATCAGCCACACCCTTGAGGTGCTTCCTAGTTAGCCAAAATGATCTGATCCATTAATAATCAAACTCCACATAGAAGAATTAACTCAGCCCATATGACTAACTAACACTGAATAAACCTAGGTGGCTTGTGGCTCCTGGTTGCGCACAACTGACTGTGCGCAGTGAGGTACAGCATCATGTATGAAGAAAAAATATGACCAAAACACTGTTAGGGCTCACCTTCTAAAGTTTCTGGGTTTTCCTCCATGTAATGCACCGCCTTGATTAGCCAGTCATCTTTAAGAGCTGTAAAAACACATTTACACAGCATAACGCTCAAGAGTGTTCTGATATTTAAAATACCAGGACACTCATCCCTCCAGGCTTAAACGTGAACACATTATACCTCGTTTGGCTTCTTGTAGAGGACTGCAGTACACTGAAACACAACAGGAGAGAAAAACACCCGCTTGCTTATTTAAAGAGGAAAAATGTAATTAAAAAAAATAATCATGTTAGATGCTGACTTTTTACCGTCTTTCAGATATTCTGCACACACAAGAGCAACACAGAGTATTTGCAGCATGTTGTTTAAGGTCAGGACACAAGTGAGGCTTCCAGCTCCTCATCCTCATTAATTGCACTAAATAAAATCAGCTGTGAGCTGATGCTGCTTCCTCCTTCAGTCCTGTGAGGCTCATAGGAGGAGGTTTCACAGTTTTAATAAGGCAATACATAAATACATTTTAATATGCTAGTTTATGGTGTAGGGTTTCACACATCTATTCAAATTTTTCTGTTTTTTTTTTTTTAAAGATATCACCAAATCACAACAACAGTTACCTCAGAGTGTTTTATAGTGTAGGTAAAGATCCTATATACAGAGAAAACAGAGGAAACCACAACAGTCAGACGGCCCCCTTTTTCTTAATTTATTAATATTTATACTATATTAATATTTTATTATCAGCAGTGGAGAAAGTATAACTTTCTAAATTACACAATACACACACATTTATATATATTTAGTTTTTTTAATGTCTTTTTTATTTTTTAATTTCTTTATTTTTTATTATTGCGCTCATATGCAGTAATGACTCCACACCAAAGGGTGGCAGACCTGCGCCATACACATGCACACAAATTACCATTAAGAAAAAGAAAGTATTTCCGGTTTAAAAACCAAACACGGGCTGAAGACGTGGGGAGGTAATTTGGGCCGAAGTTTCTTGACATTTGTAAAGACACTTTTATCAAAATGTCGAACAGACAGGGGGTTTGGTACGTGCTCAGTGGTCGTTGACGATAGAAGAGAATAGGCTGCGGTAGTGATGCATGTTAATGTGTTAATGGACATGTGGTTCAGCTCTACATGCGCTGGTTTGAAGCTTTGACTGATTTGGAAATGCTACATGTTCACTGCTGCGTTTAAACAACGATGAGCGGTGGAGGGGACATTAGAAACTACGCATCCTCCTTCGAAAACTTTGTACCTTGGACTGATTTGTTTTTGGACTGGCACTTTGTATTGTAAGGTTAAGCCCCAACAGCAATACAGAGAAACCCCAAACATCAGATGGCCCCTATGAGGGGAGGAAGACAGGAAGCAGACATGCAGTGGAAGAGAGCAAGAGATGAATAAGAATTCATAATTAAATGCAGAGAGGTGTATTAATGTATGGTTAGTGACGATGCAACCAGTGCATCATGGGAATTCTGGTAAGATACCATATTTCTAATATGTTTATGGCTGAGTACAAAAGTCTTAATTTTCTCTGAAGTGAGGTGACTGATTGGAATCTTTGCTGCTGTTTCATTCATTATGAGGAGACTTGAAGTGTTCAGTGTTTCCTCCCTGCTTCATGGTGCTGGGAGAGATCTTCAGTTGCTAGAACTCACAGACTTTAAAATCATACCTCCAACACAGTGATGTTAAAACGTCTGTCATCTCACGTCACAAAACTGTCTGAAATCTAACAGGACAACACATTTAACACTAGAGCCAGGAGGGATCATTTTAACTCCTACCTGCAATAACAGCAGTAATGATCTAATTTTAAGTGGGATTTGACAATATCAGTATTTAAGATTACTTTATAAGGTTATTATGATCATTTTAAAACAGCCTTCAGGTGTCCAAATAACAAGTGCTACGTCACCAGGTTTACTAGTGGGGCAGCCTATTACTAGTTTAGCATTAATTTCTACGGGGTCAAAATGAGGTAGGGGTGACGCCTACTGTTGCTTTAGAAGTCATGGCTGCTATAATTGCAGCTGACCAATAGATGTTACTGGTAGGATCCATCTTTGAGGGTTTTAAGCTTCAAATCATTTTTCAGTACAACCAGGAAGTAACCTAAAAAGCTTACCAAGGCTTTATTCACCCATCTATATCTGAATGCTTTTATGAAGATGTTTGGAAATATTCCTGTTGATGAAGTGTATGTCACCACGTTTCCTTTGAAATCCTTCTTCTTGTGCTTCAGTGTTTTGTTTGCAGTCATGACGAGGTGGGCGAGAGCTAACAACGTCCACAAACACAAACCAGCGGAGGCCACCCCCTGGAGTCAGCTGAGAACAAGACGACCACCAGGAGCCGGAGGAGGCGACGGTGGCAGCAGCAGCACTGCTGGCGTTAGAGTAGCTGAGAGGAATCCTCTGAGAAAGACACAGCCCAGTGGGTCTGCTATAAAGAAACCCAACGGCAAGAAAAAGCAGTACGTCAGCGAGGATGTAAACGGCTTCCAGGAGTATCTCCAGCAAACGGGGCAGCACCTGGCTAAAAAATGTCAGGAGGGAGAGCATGAGCTCAGAGAGGAGGTGCAAAATGCTCTAAAGAAGGACAAGAAGAGGGAGGACAGGAGGATAAAAAGACAGACCAATAAGAAGAACAAAATGGTGAGTTGTTGAAAGTCTGAAACATTTTCCCCAACTAAGACTTTTGGAAACTCCCACCATGTTCACAGTAGTGAAGTAGTGGTAGTAATAGTAGTAGTTCACAGTTCATTGAATTAGAATACCTACATTTGGTCTGAAAAAATAAAGTAGACACAAAAAGTGAAGAAAATTGTGTTTGGTCCATTATTTCTTTGTTTCAACAATATATAAATCTTATACAACTGGAAAGCTTGTATTTGTAAGGAAATTCCATTTGTGGTTTGAGCTGTAATCGTCTTACATCAGTTTAATGTTGTAAGGTAAAGATCCCACATAGTGCTCTCAGTACTCTTGCTGATAGATGAAAAAAAACCTAAGTTTTATCAGTTTATACATGTAATGTAAACGGAATTGGTGCTAGCATGGAAACCTGCGGAACTCCACAAGGTTAACTTGCATGAACAAATTGGAGTCTATTAGATATGATATAAACCACTGCAGCGCAGTACCTGTAATACCTACAGCATGTTCTAATACAATGTTATCATCATTTGTAACCGTCACTAAAGCTGTTTCTGTGCTGGGATGAGCTCTGAAACCTGACTGAAACTCTTCAAATAAACCATTCCTCTGCAGGTGATCTGTTAGCTGTTTAACCACTGCTCTTTCAAGGATTTTTAAGATGACAGGAAGTTTGGAGATTGGCCTATAATTACCTCAGACATCTGGGTCAAGAGATGGCTTTTTAAGCAGTGGTTTAACTACTGCTACCTTGAAAAACTACAGTACATAGATTAATAGAGATTGGTTCGTCATATTTAAGTTTGAACATTAATTAATGGTAGGACTTCTTTGAGCAGTTATGAACAGCACGCAAAGTTGATCCTACAAGTGTTCTATGGGTTTAAGGTGAGGACTGCAGGCAGGCCATTCTATCCACTCCTGAATTCTGGGGTTAGTCTCTGATAAACCACGCTGTTTGAAGGCAAACATGTTCATGTTGGAGGATGGAGTTCGGTCTTAGACTGTGGAAAGTTAGTTAGCTGGTGAGCTATAAATATTCCATATTCATCGTTTCCATACGACGTAATGGATAAGCCAACATAAATCTCAAAGAAAATTCAGTTCAGTATTTTTCAGTTCAATAAAGATAGGGCAGGAGTGTGAGATACTGCCACCCGTGGTCATTTGGGGAGCACTGCAGTTGTTGAAATCTTCCCACCTGTATGAGGTATGAATATACCTGTTAACGTTAACAAGGCTATGGCCATTATTGTTGTTTTCTACAAATTCAAGATGACATTTAAAAGCACTGCAGAGTTAATTGTTTTTAACAGTATCTTCTACCGATGTGCGTGACACACTAAGCCTGCCACCACAGCTGTGAACATCACACCTGTCAGGAGGCTTCATGGTGGCTACACCTGATCTGGAAGTGACACTTTGTTCTCATTTCTTTAGCCGTAGTTGTCCAGGCTTTCTGAAGCTCCTTCAAAGTTTCAGTTTGGACGTTGGCTGCTTTTTCACTCTGCTTTAGTGTAGTTCGTGTTCCTGGCATTTTGACAGGAATGTTTTTTTCCCTCTATTAAGCCACTTCACACTGACGAATAGGGATGGGTATCGTTTAGGTTTTATCCGATACCGGTGCCAAATCGGTACTTTTGAAACGGTGCCGGTGCTCAAACGGTGCTCAAACCGGTGCTT